ACTCAAAATTTGCCCGTGGGGCCCACGTCTCGGGACCCGACAAAAAGTATAAAATATGAACGCCCATCCAACCACGACCAACCATACAAATTTAACCAAATTCCGACATCAACTCGACCCTCAAATCTTTAATTAAAATGTTTGAAGATTTCTAGCATTTTCAACCCAATCTTTACCCATTTGAACTCAACAATCTTTCCACAAACCTTATTGGTACGTGTATGTATAAATAATACTCTTACACTCAAGAATCAAACTCTTAATCCCCCATCTTTTACTCCAAACTCGAAATTGAAAAATTGGGAAAAGAAATTATTACCTCTTTGAATCCTTAACAAGATCCTTGTGAAATCTTCAAGCCTTGAACAAGAATTGAATGGACAAATGACTAAGTCTTCACTTTCTCTCTCTAATATGCTCTCATCTCTCTCTAAAATATCAGATGAAACCGTTCAAAATGACCCCTAATAGTGTTTTATAAGAATGGGGTCGGGTTTATAAAACCAGAAAAATAAAGCTCCAAAACACACTCTGCGGTCGCATATGCGATCGCATAATGCTTCTGCGGCCCGCATAATGGGTCGCAAAAAAGGCCCCCCGGAACTGGGCAATACTGCTTCAGTCTGCGGTCATTATGCGGCCCACATACTTGTTCTGCGGTCGCATAATGCACCGCAGAACTGGACTGCAGTTGCATAATGCGCCGCAAACCTGATCTCCAAACTTGGCCTAACCTGCTTCACTCTGTGGCCATTATGCGATCCGCAGAGTGATTTTGCGATCGCATAGTGGGCCGCAGATAGGGCTGTGCATAATTTGGTAAATACCGAATTACCGTATCAAAACCGAAAATTTTGGTATTCGGTATTCGATTTTTTGATATTCAGTATGATATTTGGTTTATGTTTAAAAAAAAAATTAGTATTAGATATGGTATTTGGTATTTTAAAATGAAATACCGAAATACCGATATCGTACCCAAATATATATTATATTACACAATATACATTTTATTAATTATAACATAAATATAAGAAATCTAAAATTTTACTTTCCTTTATTCTCTAAGTTAATCAATTAACTCTAAGCAAGTAACAAGATATTTCTCTAAGTTTTCTCTCTCTAGGTTGGTATTTTCTGGTTTTGAACAAAATTTTTGTCAACAAACGTTTTTAGTTTTGTACTTTTGAGTACTTTAATTAAGAATATTACCGTCTATAACTCTATGCACTAGTTAGTATTCAAACCAAATAAACCGAACCGAATAAACCGAAACCGAAAGAAGAAAAACTAAACCATACCGAATTTAATTAGGTACAGTATTGGTATAGTATTTTACGAAATCGAATACCGAAAATACCGAACCGAAATGTTTAAATACTGTACCGAACCGACCGACCGACCAACACCCCTAGCCGCAGAGATGTATTATTATTATTTATTTATTTTAATTTATTTTTTAAAAAATTTTCCTTTACTCTCCAGCGCATTGTTCAACCCAAAAAGTCCGAGCCGCGGCTCACAAGCTTGCCGCGAGAAATTTCTACAACCTTTGTACCTTAATCTACCTCGGCACCACAAAACCTTAATTTTTCTTAGCAAAATTTCCGGGGTCGTTACACATAAGTCAACATCCGATCAACATCCGGTCAACCTTTTCAACTTAAGTTCAAAACCTTGGAACTAAGTGTTCCAAATTATTCCAAAACCTCACCGGGCCCGAAATTACCCCAGCAAGTCAAATAACAACCATAAATCACAATTTGAGCAGTAAATGGGGAGACGAGTTTGTAATACTCGAAACGACCGGTCGAGTCATTACATTTATACAGAGTATTTTGTTATTGTTGTTGTTGTCAAGAGTATTTTGCACTTAAAAAGGTATTCCAATATCAAGTGAATCATAACAGATTAGATGAATTAATATGGGAGGTACTTGCCTTTATCTCTGAATCTTAGACCTTTTTAGAGAGTTCAAGAGATCGGAGGGGTTCTAGGGAAGGAAAAGCTTTTGAAAAATTTCGTACTTAGATAATTTGTGCATTTGTTCTTGGTCAACATTGGCTCTTTTCCTCTTAAAAAATTTGGAATTAACATTGAGCATATCTTTGTCTTCGTCATGTAAATTAAGAGAAGATCACTTATAATTGAAGCGTACAACAAAATATTAACCCAAAATCACAAGAAAAAGAAAAGAAAATTGACTAAATGAAGTTTATTAATTGACGAATTTTCTTATTTTTAAGGAAGTTGAAAAGGATCATCAAGTTACTAATGTACTTTAGCAAGTTGTTTGAACAAAGATTTTCCTCAAGTTTTTATGCAAACCTATTGTATGAAACTACGAATCACCCATTATGTATTTAAGATAATATAGTAAAATATAATAAGCACAGAAAAAAAATATAAACATTAATATAAAAAATATTTATATTCATGACTGAGAAATGTCTAAAAATATATTTTGAAAAATTATTGTAAATATATAACTAAATAAAAAAATAAAAAATTAAATGCGAATACATTAACATCACAAGACTGCGTACTATGCAAATACAACTAACCATTAAAATATTATATAGTACTCTCGGAACCAAGTTACTCAATAAAAGAAAAAATAAAAAATAAAAACATTTTAAAAAATTACTACTACTATTTTTGAAATACCAGAAACAATCACTAGTCGTATTTTGTACTCATAGTTGAAAAGTAATCCTAAACTTATTCTTTTTTTCCTTACATAATAAATCCAATTCTTTTTTACTGTTGCAATTAATTAATACGGAAATATACGTGTCAGCTTTTGATCAGCGTTTCTTAACGTTAAACTTTCTAAAATTGAATGCAGAAATTTATTCTACTTGTATTTTGTATACCAACTTGACTTGGACTCTACAATTAATGAAGTACTTTTACATTTTTGTACATTAATATTATAAGTAATTAATTAATATTTTATGACTATTTTAATTAACCAATATTGTATTCATATTTTTATAATAGTATAGATATAGATAACTCTTACATGCATGACAAATGAATACAATTTGCTGATATTGTAGAAGAAACACTTTATTGCAAAACCAGCATTACCTATCCCTATGGGTACGAAATACGAATACATACGTAAGTTCTTATCTCATTTTAAGCTACCTAAGTTGACTTAAATGGTGAGCACATCAAATTGTGAAATGAAATTTGACAAATCTTCTTAAGATGTAGAAAATAAGAACAAGCACTATTATAAAGATAGATCATTACATCAGCTGACACATGAAGTCTATACTCTATATTAGTTGTTCATAAGATGAATTTTATTTGCATTGTTCAAGGATGTTTCATATAGCAACAATTAGCAGTAGAGTCATACTTTTTCGCTGCATACATACCACTAAGGACTTTCTATCCTTAATTAAAGTCTCAATATGAGATTAGAAAAACCACTAGAAAGTAATTTCTTGGATCGTACACGACACAACTGTGAATTAAGATACCTAATAAGTTTGGGACAGGATTTGCTCAATAGCCTTTTTAACCCAAGCACGAATAGGGGTGCTTATCGGGCGGATCGAGCGGATAATTACGATTAACGGTTCGTCTTATCGGTTATCAGATTATAAATGTAGTAATCCGCTAGCCATCCAATAAGACATCGGGCGGATTGGTATCGGATTAACGATTATCGGTCGATTTATCGACTAAACTAAATAGAATTTTTTTGAACAATCAATACCAAACGGCCAAATGTATAGTACAAACTGCTCAGTTAGTTTCTGAATAATCAATACCATTAGCATTGTTATCCACATAACAATTAGAAAACCCCTACAGACCAATTTCAAACTCTAATTGTAAGTGAAGTAATGAAACAAACCCCACTTAAATAAAATGGCCGAGAGAGGAATTCAATTCATGTCTACTCATAATTCATGAGAAGCCAGAGACTACCAGCTATAGACAGTTCTATCATTCTATGTACAACTACTTATGCAACAATGTAGCAATAAGTATATATACATACGGGTAAAAGTATAAATATAAAAATTCTTAACGGGTTAACGGTTTAGCCGATAAGAAAATTGAGTAATCTGTCCCAAACCGTTAAACCGTTAATTATAAAATGTCAATTCGTTCACCATCCATTATCCCGATAATCCAATACCAATAAGCCAATAAGTTACTGGTTTTGTTCGGTTTTGAACAGCACGGACAAGGAAACAACATTCACTTACTTTAAAAAACATCTCCATAACTGGAACAATAAGATCCACATGTCTAAAATGTCGATCTAAAAATCATTTACAGGCTCAACTGAAAAGACCCAAATGTAAAAGAGAGTGATGGAATATAGGCTAGAGTCCATACAACATAGATGAGAAGAAATGTATGAACTCATACACTGCAAAACTGATATAACAATCCATTTACCTAACTCAAAATATGCGTATAAAACTAGAATCCAGGACCCCCTTAAATTTATCCATTTCATCATAAAATCAAACTTAATTCCTAACTTGGCATCTTAGAATAACTTGGTCTTTTATGAGTTGGACCTCTTTTTTATGGGGCAATTAACAAGACACTGCAAATAATTAAAAGAGAGTATGAAAAAGTGGATGGACCAAAATTTCTAATGCCAAACACTAATTAAGAAGCGAGACTAAAGCAATTAACAGAAAGTAACAACTATAATCAAGGAAATTAACATGAATTACGCTGAATCAAATCTATGCTTTCCTTATTTCATACTCTGTTTTTCTGATTCCAAATGTGCATTTTATTACTAGTACAAAAGATGAACAAAAAACCAACAGAGTAAAGAATGATTATACTAGTACGTAAATGGAAAACATCAAAGCACTTGCGACCAACGATTAACCCAAAACTAATACTCCCAATTAGACTAAATCCATAAAGCTAAAACTAAAACTAATGAAAGATTCATGATTTGAGATTTGCAATTATATCAGAAATAACCTTTTCCATATCCAGTAATTCCCTCAATGGCTTTTAGAATTGCGAGTCGAACTCCTTGTCACTCTGGTAGAAGAAGGCTCCACATTTGCCCTAATTGTAACCGATGAATTACCCCCAGAAGTTGTTGTTTTCGCCTTCTTTGACTTAGGTGGTAGTGGGTCAGCAGCAGTCGAATCAGAACCCAATTTGGCTTTGCCACGGCGAGTTAAGATCGTAGAGGACGAGGTGCTACCGTCAAAGATGGCGGTTTTGGCTTTCTTGGACTTTGATGGTTCTTCTTCTTTGGCTTTGTCTTTAGCACTGCGAGTCAAAATAGTGGAAGTTTGCACATTTGCCCTTTTCTTGGACGCCGGAGAGAACAGAGCATTACCCTCAGAGATGGTTAATTTCGTTTTCTTGGACTTGGATGGTGATTGAATCTCAGCAGAAAGCAAGTTAGACTCCAGTTTTGCTTTGCCTTTGGCTCTGCGAGCCGAGCTGCGAGTAGTAACAGTGGTTGAAGACTCCACATTTGCCCTTTTCTTGGACTTGGGTGGTGATTGATCAGAGTCAGCAGAAGTAGACTCCATTTTTGCTTTGCCTTTGGCGCTGCGAGTGAGAATGGTGGAGGGTTTCACATTTGCCATTTTCTTGGGCGCCGGAGATAACAAGGCCCTGTTTTCAGAGATGGTTAATTTCGCTAATTTCATGGACAGCACGGAATCATGCGTATCAGCAGAAGGCAATTCAGACTCCAATTTGGCTTTGCCTTTGGCACTGCGAGTCAGAATAGCAGAGGGCTCAGCATTTGCCCTTTTCTTGGACTTGGGTTGTTGAGTCTCAGCAGAAGGCGAGTTGATTTTGGCTTTGCCGTGGCGAGTGGAGATTCTGGTAACAATGGCGGATGCAGAGGATTCTGTATTTGCAATTTTCTTCGACGCCATTGAAGAAGAGGCGCCGTTGTTACCAGAGGTGTTTGTTTTGGGCTTTTTGGAGTTGGGTGGTTGAGGATCAGAGACCAATTTGGCTTTGTTAGTACGAGTAGAGCTTCGAGTAGCAATGGCGGAGGACTCCATTTTTGCCCTTTTCTTGGGGGCCATGGAGAAGAAGAACAGTCTTTCTTCTTTCTTGTGGTGTTTGTTGTATTTTGACGGTTACAGAATTTGTTAGAAAGCTGACTTGAATTAATTGTCTATGACTGCTCAGCTTTATATAGACGGTTTGATATCTCTCGCTTTTGGGCGGCCAATTCAAATACCACAGTTCGTCTTTCCTTCTAAAGAAACGGAAATTTTGCCTTAGAGAACAAAAAAGAAATAATTATAAAGAAAGCCAATATTTTAAAAATGGTAATCCTACTGTTTTTTTCTTTCAAATTACAGTTACTTACATTTCTTTTTCTTACGAAGATCAAAATCAATCCATTTAAATTGTACTGATTGTTCTAGAAACTTCTTAAGTTTGTGTGTCTTGGGAAATCAAAGAGTTTTCATTATATTTATGGATACAGTTAATCCTCCAAACAAAAGGCATCCAAAACGGGGTACTTCACACAATTCTTATTTGTTTTCACTACCCATTATGGACCTTCATAAAAATACGTACATTTTTAATTTGGAATTCTGTTTTTTCTCATCAATTTAATTACCTACTTATGTTTTATGTCTGCAATGCATAAAAGAAATGTAAATACTAATGGAGGAAGAAAGACGTAAATTTGGTGCATGCCATATATTGAAAATATAAATAATTATATCTCATACATTTTTTTTGTACAACCTTCATTGATTATAACTTTTGTTCTTTTTCATTATGCATGCAATAAACCTTATTCTTTCCATTACCGTTACACACTATATATCATGTAATTATAACTCCTCTATTCTTCTTGTTCATTTCACTTTTTGTTTATCTCGGTATCCTACAACGATTAGTACAAACAAGAGCATAAACGCAACAAGAACATGTTAAATAATTGAAATATATTTATATTTAGTATCTATAACACACGCAGCTGAATGTATACATAGATCTAGAGAGATGCTAGCTTATGACTTTCATGCATAGAAATACTTACACATCTCATTAAGGGGAATTGATGGTGATAATTGTTGCTCAAAAGAATTTCACGCGGCGCCTACTTGATCGTCCCCATTTTAATATGTACTTATTTTTAAAGTTAACTAATAGTCAAAGTAAGATAACTTCGGACAAGCTTCTTCTTAGCTTTTCCCTTCTCCTCCTTTTTCTTAGTTGCTGTAAAATTAGAGGTGGCTACAGATTTACATGGTGTTTGTGAGTAAATTTTAAGGCGTTTTTAACAGTAGTGAGCTGCTATGGTGTTCATTTCTTTGTTACTACTTAGGGTTTCTTCTCATTCTTCTTCTTAGTTGCAAAATGAGTTTATTATATTTGTTGTTGTTTTGATAAATTGGCGATTGAAGTTATTCTTTATGGCATTTGAAAGTTATGTTTACATTTGGAGTAAATTTGAGCACCGAATCGTGCGTTAGATTGTTGAAATTCAAAAATTAAGTTTCTTTTTCTGGGCAATTTTTACTTTAGACTGATTAATCTTAAGTGCAAGTAAAAATTTAGTTGTACTTCTAACTAATTAGTCTTAAGTGAATCTTAAGTGCAATTTTTGCACTTTAGACTATTTCGTCCTAAGAGCATGTAAAAATTTGACTGCGGATCAGACTAATTACTCTTAAGTGTATTTTTTTACACTTTGAAGTTTACACTACATAACTTCAAACACGATTGTTTGAAGTTTTCACTGCCGGAGGGAGAACTTCATATGCGAACAATATCTGAAATTCGTAACTTCGCGTTTGAAGTTTGCACCGTCACGAGGAGAACTTCAGACGCAAAAACTATCCAAATTTCTTATTTCACACGCGTATTTTTGGATCTTCAGTCGTGGCATTTGAAGTACGTTCTAAAGTGGGTAAATTTATAAATTTTTGTGCAATGCAGATATATCCAAAAACGAAGATTAACGACATTGTTAAAAAAAATCCACTTGAATTTAGACGTGAAAGCAAAAGTTATGTTGCGTCTATATATATGCTGCCATGAGAAGACGTAAAATGATAAAATTTTAACATTATCTGTCTTATTTTTCAGGTAACTATGGAATTTGTAATTATCTTTTATGTGTAAAGTTCTTGGATTAGTGTATAGAAGTTAACAAACTAGATCATCTTCTCTTTCATATTTGCTTCAACTAATAAAAAGGAAAATTATAACGAACGTACCTCTGCGATAAGTGTGTTTTCTGTGCTGACAATCTTGAAGCCTGGTTTGCCTTGTAAAGCAACGATCCTATAGCTGTCCGAATCAGCAATATCACACCCAAAAATAATATCGTACTTTAACTCTCCCCAGAGTACATGTCCATTTTTTCTTACTTCAAAACAAGGAATTTCCTCATCCATCTTATAGCCATTCCAATGTCCGCAAAGTGAAAATTTCTGAAAAAAATAGTAAAAACATTCAATTAGTAAGCATAAATTAGGTTAATCTGAATATTCATCGTGCTATTTTTAGGTTAAAAGAACTGCCTAGAGTATTTTATTGGAAAAATGACAAACCGTTCTCAAAATAATAGGTGAAATAATATGTATATTTTTATATATGTTTTTGTATATATATACATACCGTATGTTATATACAAAAATTATACAAATTTTATATATTTTTCGGCTACGGAATATAAATATTTCTGACACGGGATAAAAGTGAAAAAACCCTATTTTATTTGTACCTTTTTACGTAGAGAAAAGAGAACTTTCCCCTGCAGATCCATGAGATGGACTTCACTGCTAGACTTTTTGCTGTAGTTGTCAATTCTGTAAATAATTCGACCATTTGAATCAAAAACAGTGCAGCCATTTCCTTGGAAGACTAGAGATTTCATCCATAAAGTAAATGTTTCTCTTTTTGATGTCATGTATGAGATTGAGGAAGAAGAAGAAGAAGAGGTAGAAGCAGAAGAAGAAGTCATAGGATAAATTCTAGCCATTGGAAATAATTTAGAGAATACAAATTAAGTTGGGTTTGAGATAGAAGACCTTTAAAGAGACTTAAATACTTCAAGAAATGTAGTTGAGATCGAGAGTACCATTTAGATGATTAAACTAATTGCTATGTCCCATTTTAAAATGAATAATATCAAGGATTGAGATAAAGTTCAATAAAAAAATAATCTCTCACTTATTAGTCTACTTTATTTGTCCAAAAAAATATCCACAAACTAAAACCAAGCATTTTTTTTTATATAAATCTTCTTTCTTTGATGAATTTATTATGTATTTTTGTTCAATATGGGTGACCTAAAGAGACAATTGAAAGGAAAGTAGTAATTATCACGTTTAAAAGCATAGCTATATATGTGGGGAAAGGTTTGTTTTGTCATTCATTATGTTTGCCGTTCAGGGTTCGATTCATTATTGTGAAATACTATACTTAATTTAGATCAAGCCCCATACCCTTTTTTCCAGTTTAATTTATCTTTTGATGGTAGCTTTTAGTACACCATAAATAAATAAATTGGTGAAAAAGACAATAGAGCAAGTTTAATTCAATCAATATTCAATACTTTCTCCGGTCTAATTTAATTGATTTTTTGGTTATTTTCACACATATTAAAAAATTCACCTTTTAACATTAGATAAAAATAGAATTGACCATATTAACCTTAATTTGTTCATTGAAAATATAACAAATACTCCTAGGCTCTTTACTCCAAAGGCAACTTTGGAAAAAAAGAAATTAATTCCTTCTTGATATCTGAAAATATCAAATATTGTGGACCACAGAAAAAACTAAAAATCAATTAGAGTGGATCGAAGAGAATAATATAGTAGTTTTTAATGCGTTCATGCCATGAGAAAAAGAAACATTTATATGTTGCTTTGTCACCTTGTCCACTATTTGCAAGATATATTATTTAACCTAGTTTAATTTAGTGTAGTAGGGACGTATTTTCTTAGAGATGAGGGACATTAAATTGGCAGTACACATTGTGTGTTTCGTCAATATCCTGGTAAGAACAAACTTTTAAAAGTTACTTTCTGTTATTTTTTCCGATGACAAGAAATTACCCGATGAAAATCTATGCTATACTTTATTCATTTTAATCACGAAATAAAAATATTTTTTTTAGAAACGAACGAAAAGATAAAAGAGAAAGAATATAAAAAGTTGATAACAATGCCTACTTCTGGCTTCTGGGTGTTACGTGCATACACCTAAGCATTAAAAGGGAACTTTAAATACAAAGAAAGTCAACCTAATGGATTGACTCCTCCGATATTTCCACACGTGTATATACCCCATACAATATAATGTTTTTTACCCTATAAATTCATAAATTAGATGTTCCCATTCTTTCACTAAAATATCAAAATCAATTTTCGAAAAAACGGTTGTTACTCTCATGAGGCTGCATCAAAATCCACGAGTGAACTCTACGGTTTACACGTGCAGAAAAATAGTTTGGGTCATCAAATACTCATATATAAGAGTGTATGCATAGGAGTTAGAGGTGTCAAAATATTCATTTGCTTCAGATTTTCGATTGGATATTAGGATTCTTTCACAATGCCACAGAACCGCGTTAAATCAATAAAATTGTGTCATATGTTTACAAATTTTATAATCTATTAGGTTAGGCGGTTCACATAATTTATCAACAGAAAGTGCATGTCAAATTAATAGCTATGGTAAAAAATTTATAAATGAGAGAACCCACTTTCTAAAAAGTTTTTGAACGATATAATTCTCAACTCAACAAGCAAGTAGTTCCGTCAAATTATGAAAAATATTTATCTGCAAACGAAAATTTAGTTACACCAAACCAATAAGTACATCAAAATGTGTTTTAAAATAACCTTTATCATCTAATAAAAAATTATTTAATATGTATTCTTATTTTAATTTCTTAATTAGGCACGGAGATAAATTCAGAGTAAAATGAATCTCTTGCTGATTTGCATCTTCATTATCCAGAGCCCACATACTAAAACCAAGCTTCGATTTTAAGGAATTCGCGTACATTTTCGTTCTTTCAATAAATTATATAACTGTGAACATTTGCTCCCATGAAAAGTAGCCTAAAAGAAAATGAAAAAGAAGCAGCAATGATCACGTTCTTAAAGTATATTTACATATGTAGGGAAAGCTTTGTTTTGTCATTCATTATATTTGTCCCTATTAGTGACATGGTTCGGACTCGGAGGCATTATTAGGTTCTGGGTTCGAATCACGCTGGAGGAAAAATGTAAAAATGGTATAAACCTCCTAATTTGGGAGGGGTTTAAAAAAAAAAGGCATTATTTTTTCACTTTGAGTGATCTTCTTCTACTTGCTTTTGTGCAACAGAAAATGGTGAAAACGAAAATAATGAAAGTTAATTATTTAACTTTGGTTACCACAAGTTAATCCTATTAATGGGGTCTTGGGAGGGTAGTATGTACGCAGACCTTATCCCTACCTTAGGGTAGAGAAGCTGTTTCCGATAGAAACTAGGCTCCATTCCTCCAAGAACTCTCCACCTTGCTCTTGGGGTGACTCAAACTCACAACCTCTTTATTGAAAGTGGAGAGTGCTTACCACTAAAGCAACTCACTCTTACCATGTTGTGTATATTTGCAAAACCTAATAATGTCATAGCTAATTCTTCTTTTTTATTTTATACAGTTAAATATATCTCTATAATAATATCATATCGTTTGTCATGATATTTTTTGACTTTTATAGGGAATGGTTGTTATACATTATAACACTATTTGACGTTTGAATGCTATTTGGGTTGTTATAATAGATAGAAATCATCTTTTGTTCCTTTCTTAATGTTCCACATAAATTGACAAAAGTGGGTTGCTCTAGTGGTGAGCACCCTCCACTTCCAATCAAGAGGTTGTGAGTTCGAGTCACCCTAAGAGCAAGATGGGGAGTTCTTGGAAGGAGGGAGCCGAGAGTCTATCGGAAACAGCCTCTCTACCCTAGGGTAGGGGTAAGGTCTGCGTACAAATTACCCTCCCCAGATCCCACTAGTGAGATTATACTGGATTATTGTTGTTGTTGTTGTTGTTGTTGTTGTTGTTGTTGTTGTTAATGTTCCACATAAAAGATAAAAATAAATATTCAAGTTTAAAATCTCAAAAGATATAATATTAAAGAAAATTAATACAATATTAATAAATTCATTGAAAACTTTGTCCATCGAAAAAATATATACAGTTCTCCAAATATTAAACATTGTGCACGATGAAAACATTCGTGCAATGGAATGAAAATATACAAGCATATCTTTAATAGATTTGAGTGAAATCATTAATATAGCAAGTAACATAATATTCTTTATCATACATGGTGCATTAAAATTGCAAGAAATTTGATCAAAGTCTTTAGACTTATTATTCAGTAATCTTAGAGATTTTACATGGTTGCTATAGAGGGGTAATTTTAAAAAGTGTACTGCTATAAAAATTATTATTATTATTAGAGGTAAAATACTGTTATAGAAAGGTAGAAAAATAACATGAAAAATCTGTTCCGAAAAAAATTGACTTTTAAGTAAATGACAGGTATATACGGTTGTTGTTCTAGATTAATTTGACTATAATAAGAAATATGTAATTCCTATTTTGTCCTTTATAAATTGAAATCCCTATAATTTTGCAAACAGAATGAATGACAATATAAATCGGTTATATATATATATATGTACTTATGTAGGGCATCATTCAACGAATTCAACTCAATTATTATTCCCTTCTTTCTTTATATGTGCCACAAAAGCACACGAGAGAATCGTGCTGTGAACTCAAAACAGCGTGAAGACTGAACTGATGAACGCGAGCACGAAAACGAGCTATTATAGGAAGTCAACGTAACCCAAAAGACTCTCTCAGATATTTGACATTAATTGATCCTTTGGAGCGTATTATTGAGCTACACTATTGATGTTGCGGTATATCAATTTTGTTTTTTTAAAATTTCCTACCCAATGCTTCGGTACATGTGCAAGGGCCATTAAATGTGGAAGTATTTTTTAACAGAATTTTTTCTATACTAAGAACTCGAACTTAACACATTTGGTTAAGAGTGGATGGATGCTATCCATCTCACCAGTGTGCTCCGTATTCGGGAATTCTAACTTGAATAGAAAGAAATTTAATTAGAGATTTAAATAAATAGAACACAACTAACTTTTTCCCGATCCGGTGGAAAATAACTCTTCAAAGTCAAATTAAAAGAGAGATTAGGGATGACAATTTGAGCCCAAATCCATTTCAGCCCATCTAAAGTTGAGCCGGTCATTAACCTGCCCATTTATTGAATTTAACTCATTTTGACCTAACCCATTTCAGCTCATCTAAAGTTCGTTGATTTTTAGCTCAAATTGATCAATGAGTAACTTTGCTAAAATATATTTTTTTGTTTAATATGTTAGGAAAAAAGTCTTATTTAATAATTAAATAATTCATAAGAAAATAATACACATTAATTAGAGCTTGATAAAATTTGGGCGGGTGGACTATGACTCAAATTTAGCTTAACTTGACTCAGCTCATCTCAGACAAGTTACTTTTGAGCGGGTCAATTAGACTCGAACAATTTTGACCCGCTCCAAATCCGTCCATTTGCCACACGGGAGATGTTAACGATTTTAAAAGGCACTTATGCCGAACTAAACAGAAGCAGGTATTGTGTCATCGGGATTCTATTAGTGCATATTTTAAATTTTAATATAATTGCTTGATTACATCATTTGCGTGCTTATCACCAGCTGATGCATTTATTAGGTTTAATCCAAATTGATGTACTACTTATGCTATCCCTTTCTCGATGGGAATCTGACACCATATGTTTTGCGTAATATCATTCTTGATCCTTTTATGCTGAGCAGTTCATTGAAAACTAAAAAAGAAGAGGGACAATTGAAAGAGAAAATGGGAACAAGATAAGTTTGATACGTTCGTGGACATAAATGACTCCTAGAATCTGTATATTACAAAGCAA